GAATGACTCCTAACGGGTATAGGATATCTTTTGGGGGTGATTAAAGTGTTCTGAAATACAGAATAATGATGATTGTACAATTTTGTAAATACACTAAAACTACTGAATTGTACACTTTAAAATGGTGAATTTTTGGTATATGAATTATACCTTACTTTAACAGAAAGACAAATCCAAGTGTTGGTCAAGATACAGAGAAATTGAACCCTCATATACTGCTGGTGGGAATGTAAAATGCAGTTCTTCAGAAGGCTAAACACTGGAGTTACCATATGACCCAAGCAATTCCTCTTCCATTTAAAACAAATGAAAACGTATGTCCACACAAAATCTTGTACATGATTGTTTACAGCAGCAGTATACACAACAGCAAAAAAAGTGGAAACCACAAAATGCTTATAAACTGATCAATAGAGAAATAAAATGTAGCATATATATTCATATGGTTGAATGCTATTCTCCAAAAAAAAAAAAAAAAGGACTGAAATACTGATATATGCTAGAACACGATGAAACTTGAACATAGGCTAAGTGAAAGAAGCCAGTCACAAAAGAACCATATACTACATGTAAGAAATGTACAAAATAGGTGAATCTAAGGAGGCAGAAAGTAGATTAAGTAATTTCCTAGGGTTTAAGGGTAAGGGTGAATAGGATGTGTGATAATGGGTGAGAAATTTCTTTTTGGGGTAATGAGTATGATCTAAAATTAGATTAGGTGATAGTTGCACAACTCTAAACATGCTAAAAACAATTGAATCATATGCTCTAAATGGGGAAATTTTAAGATACTTAAGTTCTGTCTAAATAAAACGAATACTGTGGAAGGAGCCTCTGTGCCCATCGAAAGATGAATGGATAAAGAAGATGTGGTTTATGTACAATGGAATATTACTCAGCCATTAGAAACGACAAATACCCACCATTTGCTTCAACGTGGATGGAACTGGAGGGTATTATGCTGAGTGAAGTAAGTCAATCGGAGAAGGACAAACAGTGTATGTTCTCATTCATTTGGGGAATGTGAATAATAGTGAAAGGGAATATAAGGGAAGGGAGAAGAAATGTGTGGGAAATATCAGAAAGGGAGACAGAACATAAAGACTTCTAACTCTGGGAAATGAACTAGGGGTGGTGGAAGGGGAGGAGGGCAGGGGGTGGGGGTGAATGGGTGACGGGCACTGAGAGGGACACTTGACAGGATGAGCACTGGGTGTTATTCTGTATGTTGGTAAACTGAACACCAATAAAAATTAATTCATCAAAAAATAAATAAATAAATAAATAAATAAATGAAACGAATAATTTAAAAAGCTACAACAGCTTTGGAGTGCAAGAAGAAAAAATGCAATTCAAATTCTGTATTCAAAAATATCCTTCCAAAATGAAGACAAGATAAACTTAATCAGTTCCCTCAATATTTTTCACAAAGGTCCTTATGCCTCAAGATGCTAAGAAAAGTTTTTAAAAAAGAAAAAATAAAGGCGCACACACACGTGTTGTGTGCGTGCAATATCTCAGGTTTTATAGTGTACATCAGTATATCAAAGATCCATAAAAGTCCTGAGGTAAAGCAAAATAAGATAGCGTTTTCCAAAATCATTTGTCCATCACATTCCTTTTTTGAATAATACCTATTTATTATCGCAAGGAAATAATGTTACTCAGAATACATTCTGAAAAATGTTAAATTGCTTTCTCTATTTTCTGTAATTTAAAAATATTCATTTGTTAAAGGAGATAATGTGTTAGAACAGGGTTTGACCAGCTAAGGCCTGACCCAAATGTGGCCTGAGGGCTGTTTTTTTTTTTTTAATTTTTATTTATTTATGATAGTCACATAGAATTAGAGAGAGAGAGGCAGAGACACAGGCAGAGGGAGAAGCAGGCTCCATGCACTGGGAGCCCGACGTGGGATTCGATCCCGGGTCTCCAGGATCGCGCCCTGGGCCAAAGGCAGGCGCCAAACCACTGTGCCACCCAGGGATCCCCTGAGGGCTGTTTTTATATGATTCCCCAAGCTAGGGGTGCTTTTAATGGTTTTAAAGGGTGTTATTTATTCATTCACCAAATATTAACAGAGCACCTAATCTGTGCCAGGCACTATTGTAGATTCTGGATACATAGCAGTGAAAAAACAGATAAAAATACTGTCTGCCAAAAGATACTATGCAGAAAAGCAAAACAGTAGAAATGGAAAATTAATTTATACAAAACATCTCAACTCTTACTAGATCTCTGTAATGTAGTTGTTTTCTTGTTATTGTTTTTTTTTTTTTTTTAAACAAAAATGTCTTGTCTCCTGGATCCCACTTCACTATCAGCGACTCCCAGATTCAATGAGGCGGTGGAAGGCTTCAATCAGAAAATATGTTAAACTGAGCACTAAACAATAAATGTCTACCAAGTCAACTAATGAGGAAAGAACAAACAAGTATATGGAATTTTCAAAGTGCTCGACTAGTTTGGTGTAAGTAGTAAGGTTTCAATGTACAGAAGCTACAAGGGGTCAGGCAGGCTAGGAGGTAAGGGACCAGCAAGAACATTCTTAGAACACTGTGTTTCTATTAAATGAAACATTTAATTTCCTCACAATTATACCTGATAAACAGTAATTTGCTATTAAGTTTTAAGACAGCATAAACAAAAATGACAAAAAAACCCCAAATATTATAGTATCCCTTATCATTGCATAATTTCTTTTAAGCATAAGCCAAGAAATATCAAATAACAATAGTAACCACAGAAGTATCAAAAGTACATAAAGGGGCACCTAGCTGGCTCAGTTGGTAGAATATTCCCCTTTAATCCTGGGGTCTTGAGTTTGAGCCCCACACTAGGCGGAGAGATTAGTTAAAAAAAGAAAAAATTTCACATTAAAAATGGGCTGAACTCAGGAACACTACTCGGCAATAAAAAAAAAAAAAACAACACTACTGATATATACAACAGCATGAGTGAATCATGATGCTGAATGAAAGAAGCCTTACACACGAGTACATACTGTATAAGTTCATTTAAGTGGTGTTTTAGAACAGGCAATAGTAGTAATTTATAGCAGAAAAAATCATAATAGTAGTTCTTAGAGTGGGGGGCTAACTGGGAAGGAGCATGAGGGAACTTTCAGGGGAGAAAGTAATGTTCTATACCTTGACAGGATTCAAAACTCATGAAATGGTACACTTAAAACTTACATATCTTATTGTCTTTAAGTTTTACCTCAAAAGAAAAATAAAAGAATTCTAAATATTGAGCTCTTTTTAATGACACGCATACCAAAGTATTTAGAAGAAAGTATATTGATATCTGCAGCTTAATGAAATGGATAAAAAATAGGATGGATTTTTGGATAAACAAGAGGGTTGGAGAAATACCTAGATACAAGATAAAGCAAGTACAGTAGAACGTGAATTTTGTAACCTAGGTGGGGGTATATGGGTAGTAAAATTCAACTTTTAAGTTTTGAAATTTTTAAAATGTGGGGGAAAAATAAAACTTCTTAAACACTGATAGAATCCACGGACTCCTAGATTTTAATAATTACAGTTGTAATACTCGAAGATAGCTACTATTATTGTCTTAAATGACAAAAAATTTTTTTGTTTTCCCTCTACTCTTTGAAGTTGAGGCTTATATAGTGAGAATTTGCCATATCATTAAGGCTACTGCTATTTATTGCTTAAACTGCTTCCCAAAGTAAGTATACATAGCAATCTAAGTTCCATCAGCAGTATATAATGCCAATGTTTGGTATTATTTTTATTTATTTTTTAATTTTTTTAAAAGATTTTATTTATTTATTCATGAGAGAACAAAGAGAAAGAGGCAGAGACACAGGCAGAGGGAGAAGCAGGCTCCATGCAGGGAGCCCAATGCGGGACTTGATCCTGGGACTCTGGGATCACGCCCTGGGCCAAAGGCGGCACTAAACCGCTGAGCCACCCGGGCTGCCCTGTTTGGTATTATTTTAAATCTCACCAGTTTAACATATTATAAAACTGTATCTTGCTTAATTATGCATCTCTGATTCCTGGTGAACTTGAACACTCTGAAAAATATATCAGCCATCTACCTTTTTTAAGCGTGTGCGTGAGTCTTCTATTCACATTCTTTGACCATGTAGCTAATATCTAGATTTTCCTGATGCGTGAGTTTATCTGGCCATTACTGCCCTAACCAGAAACTCAGCTTGAGTACTACATTCTCTACTCTTAGTCACATGTCTTAGCTCCTCATTCTGCTGTCTCCAACATATGTATTAAAACATGTACACTCAAAAGAATCTACTATTATCAACCAATATTCTGGTATTGTGACATCAGTTATCACTTAGTCCTGATTTTCATTGAATGTTAAGGATGATGTTGGTTGTTGATTTCAGATAAATATTTTTTATTATGTTAAGTATTCATCTATTATTAGTTTTCTAAGTTTTTCTCTTTCTCTTCATAATACGTTTAATCATACAGATAGGCCTAGATTAGAGGTGTTTAATTAGCCACCATACATTATTCCTCCATTATACTGTTGTTATTTCTTTCAAAGTTTCAAAGAACTCATCTATACAATGGGAGAGTACTTGAGGAAAGCAAACACACAGTTTAATTTTCAAGTTGGTATTATTATGGCCATTGAAAAATATTTCCCAACATTTTTTTAAAGATTTTATTTATTCATGAGAGACACAGAGAAAGAGAGAGAGAGAGAGAGAGAGAGAGAGAGAGAGAGAGAGAGAGAGGCAGAGACCCAGGCAGAGGGAGAAAAGCAGGCTCCATGCAGGGAGCCCGACGTGGGGCTCAATCCTGGGTCTCTGGGATCACACCTTGGGCAGCCAAACCGCTGAGCCACCCGGGCTGCCGTTTCTAAATTTTTTTTTAGTCCAAGCCAACAACTTCATATTTTCCAAGAAAAAAGATCTAACTCCTCTCTAAATAATAACTATGATGTCACAAAAGTAAAAATCTCCTAATTCATTAAAATTTGTTTTACCATGTCAGATAAAACAAAAACAAACCAACCCTACTTTACGTGTCATCCTTGTGCAGAGGCCATGCTAATCTTCTCTGTATCATTCCAATTTTAGAATATGTGCTGCCAAAGCAAGTGCAAAAAAAAAAAAAAAACCCTACACTAATGAAAACAGTAATTTCAATTTTGACTGAACTAACCCTGTATTTTGTAAATATAATGCACTTGGATTTTCAGACTAAAGAAATACAATGTACTTTGGATTTTCAGAGCAATAACAGTATAATAATAATAATTATTATTATAATAATACTATACATTGTATTATTATAATAATACAATAATACTATAGCCAAGAGAAATATACTTCTTCAAATTCAGCCACAATTCTTTTCCAGGGTAAGTACCTTTCCAAATACTCTAAAACAGTTTGAAAACTGTAACCTCTTTTATTTAGAAAAAATCTACCATATTCTAGTATGAAGTATACCACAAAGCATTTCTTCAAATTCTAGGATTGTGTAACTTAATAATTCACTTTTATAACACAAGAAACTGAATAGCCCGGAAGTTTCATCATAGCTGGCAAACTGGTAAAACCTGTATGTGGGTTTTAAATTAAATCCAAGAACTAAATCCATTATACGCAGTATGACTTTAAAGCATGCAGATTAATTTTATAAATTGCATATGAAAGCCTCTCTTATATTTACATTTTTAATATTTTAGCAATGATGACAGGATGTACTTTTATAATAGTTAAAAAAATTAGTTTCAGATTACTGAAAAGGCATTTTATGGAAATTATATAGTACTTTAAAATCTAAACGTAATTAAATAGTTGCTGACTGGTAAAGAGTACTGTTAATTCAATTAAACATTTATTGATCAGGGCGCCTGGGTGGTTCAGCAGTTGAGCTTCTGCCCTTGGCTCAGGGCATGATCCCGGAGTCCCAGGATCGAGTCCTACGTCGGGCTCCCTTCATGGAGCCTGCTTCTCCCTCTGCCTGTGTCTCTGCCTCTCTCTCCCTCTCTCACCAATAAATAAATAAAATCTTTAAAAAACAACTACAACTTTATTTTTTATAATATTTTATTTATTTAATTCATGAGAGAGACAGAGAAAGAGAGAGAGAAAGGCAGAGACACAGGCAGAGGGAGAAGCAGGCTCTAGGCAGGGAGCCTGACGTGGGACTCGATCCTGGGACTCCAGGATCACGCCCTGGGCTGAAGGCAGCACTAAGCCACTGAGCCATCGGGCTGCCCTACAACAACATTTATTGATCAACTACTGCGTACCAGGTTACTGACATGAAGGTACAATAAGGTATTAAAGGATAATTTTTTAAAGGATATGGATATAAAAGCCCATGCAGGTGTGTTGTACATGTTTATTAAATGTTTCTGTAAACATACATAAGTTATTAATTGACTCAGATGAGTAGATTTAATATTTTCACTATATAGTCTTCTCTGTATTATTTGAGTTTTATTTGTATTTGGCATTTTACCTTCAAAGACTTTAAATACTTTCTATAATGAGTATTTAATAATTAAAAAGTCATGAAAGTATCTAATTCATAATGAAAGGACAGCAAGTAAAGTATTACTAAACAATTAGCTTTATATTTCCATTCTTCAGTAAAAGTGGTTTACTAAACCATGCCTAAGTAAATCTAAGTCATAGTACATAATGAAGAAATATTATAGAAATTCAATAAATAGAAAGATAATGAACTTCCCTTAAAAGTAATTATATTTAAACCTGAGATCATGTATAAACATTTTAGCATGTTAACCACTTAAATTAAGTATGGCTTTTAGATATCTGTCAAGGATAAAACTTGTATTTTCTGATCCTCAATTCTCCTCCAGTGCTGGCGCTCACTTCACTCACTAACTCCTATGTTAAAAATATTTGAGCTAAAAAAGAATCTTAGATAGTCCAATCCCCTCATTTTCACAGATAAGAATACAGAGCTATGTATTCATTCAGGATTTATTAACCCTCAGTGTGGAATATAAAATTCAGTAAGATTTGGTCTTTGACTTAAAGTAGCTTATAAACCACTGAAATTAAGTACACAGATAACAATGATATAACCAGATTATTGAATGTTAAAGGCTTTAATAAATTAATCGGTGAGTAAGCCAGGATTAGAAATTGAGTCTCCCAGCTTGCAGTCTGTTGTCTTTTCCTCTTTGTCAGAAGATTCTACAATGAGCTAGACTTCCAAGCTGTTAGGTCAAGAGAAGGATTATTAATAATTGTTATGAATAATAAATTATTATATTTTTAATGTTTGGAGCACTAACTCTGTGCCACAGGTAACTTTCCACAGATAACTATTTATTAAGCTCATAACAATCCCCTGCAAGAGGAGTCCTTGGCATCTGCCTTTTTTTTTTTTTAAAGTCTTTTTTTTTTAGTCTTAAAAGACTTATTTATTTGAGAGACAGCAACAGAGAGAGAGTGTGTGTGTGTGTGCAGGGTAGGAGGTTGAGGGAAGGGGAGAGAGAATCCTCAAGCAGACTCCCTGCTTGGACAAGCAAACTCCCAGCAGAGTCCAACTCAGGGCTTGATCTGCAGACCCTGTGATCATGACTTGAGCTGAAATCAAGAGTTGGGCACTCAATTGACTGAGCCACCCAGGGTCCCTGCCATCTGCTTTTTATAGTAGAAGAAACAGAGTATGCAGAGTGCTGCAATTAGGAAGTGGCAGAGTAGAAATGTAAAGTCAAGCTCTCTGATGCGGAGGCCTGAGCTCAAAACCATTAAGTTCTCTTCAATAATATGCCTAAGAGCATGCAGGTTCCAATCTCCTAGATTCCAAATAAGTTGGTATTGATACTGTGAATGACTTTACATCAGACTCAACTCAGCTTTGCTCAGGCACAGCTGAGGGAATAGGCTATTTTTGCAAGGAATATTCCAAATTCACATATTTACAGGAACTACTACCTACCTACAGATCATTTCTTTAACACAGCTTCAACATTTATTCAAAGCTTTAGGCACTGTTCATTAGGGGAAAAAAAAGTTCATTAAAAACATATGTAAATTCATAAGTCTCTATATAATTCATTTCTGTAAGTGAAATACAAGATCAAAAAAATGCTACAGGGAACCCTGGGTGGCTCAGCGATTTAGTGCCTGCCTTTGGTCCAGGGCGTGATCGTGGAGTCCCGGGATTCAATCCCATGTCGGGCTCCCTGCAGAGCCTGTTTCTCCCTCTGCCTATGTCTCTCTCTTTCTCTGTGTGTCTCTCATGAATAAATAAATAATCTTAAAAAAAATGCTACAAGTTAGAGGATTCAGAGCTCACTATAGGCTGGAGAAACTTTAGGAAGAGGAAGGAACATAAACTGGACCTTCTTTAAGGATACAGATACACTAAGATCTAGATAAAAGAAAATGATGACCAGGAATAAGTATTCTCAGATAAAGGAAAAGGCACTGAGTCAGAAAAATATAAAACATGTTCAAGGGACACTGAGTAAACAATGTATGATTAAAGTTTTGTAGAGGCACCTGGGTGGCTCAGTCAGTTAAGTGTCTGCCTTTGGCTCAGGTTATGGTCTCAGGGTCCTGGGATCAAGCCCCAAGTCAGGCTCCCTGCTCAGCGGGGAGTCTGCTCCTTCCTCTCCCTCTACCCTTTCCACTCCACCTCCCTCTTGAGTTTTCGTTCTCTCTCCTCTCAAATAAATAAATAAAATCTTAAAACAAAAACAACCAACCCTATCTATAAGAAAAATCAAAGTTCTGTATATGGATAACATGGTTAAAAAGGCAGGAAGAAACAAAGTTTAGGAAGAAGTTTATTACACATACCCATGATAAAATACTTTACAGTCACTTTTATCATACTATGCAAAAAAAAAAATGGGATAAAAATTAAAATTTCTAAACAAGTGTGTAAATTCTTTTTTTTCTGTGATACATGATTTTTCTAATAAAAAAAGTTGGAAAAAGTTGCTTTAGACAGAAGGAAGCAATTTTTGAAAGGTTTTAGCTGGAATGACATGAAAAAATAGCTTTTAAAATCAAGTAAGGGGATCCCTGGGTGGCGCAGCGGTTTGGTGCCTGCCTTTGGCCCAGGGCGCGATCCTGGTGACCCGGGATCGAATCCCATATCGGGCTCCCGGTGCATGGAGCCTGCTTCTCCCTCTGCCTATGTCTCTGCCTCTCTCTCTTTCTCTCTCTGTGACTATCATAAATAAATAAAAAAAAAATTAAAATCAAGTAAGAACAAGGATGGAAGAAGAGATTAGAAAAAAAAGCACATGAACCAGTTAAGAGGCTAAAACTGATGGTCCAGATGTGAGCTAAAGGCCTTAACTAAGACAACATACAAGCACAGAACTGCAAGAGGATAAAAAATAACAGAAAATATGATGACACTACTTTGAGCAAGCAATCTTATCTATCTACAACAGGAGCAACTGGTTGCAAAAACCAATGAACATCATTTATGATTACTGGGAATTTTTGAAATACTGGGTGGGAAAATCTAGAAGAAAGCTACACCCATGATTGCAATTGTGGACTCCTCCTCCTTGAGGCTTTAGTTAGTCATGCTCCATGACTACACCAGTAACTTAAGATGTAACCATGCAGCAAAACTTCAAGACGAAAAACAGAGTACAAATTTAGCCTTGTAAGATTATTTCATTCAGGAGAACAATTAATGACTATATTTGGCTCCAATGGAGGCTCAGTTAATCCTGGTCTATGGCCCAAATATCCTACAATCACATGTAGGACATGCATGTCCTGATTTAGATAAGTGCTGTGTAACATGGACATCTTGTCAAAATTAAGTAATATACTTAAAGCAGTTATTCACTTCTGTCTTAGTGTGGTGTTAGTTTGTCACTCTGTTTTTAAAATGGTCAATTTTATACTACCTGATCTGCCTTCTGCATTAAGGAGAGGGGCCCATCATACACTAAAATGACCTAAGAATTCTTGCTGAGCTATTTTGAAGTTGACATAAAACAGCAGTTGTGGTATGTAACATAAAGAATGCAGACTTTAAAGTTAATAATCTGAGCTGGAATCATAGTCCTGCCACCAAAAGCATGATTTGTGGTAAAATATAAAAGGGCATACAAAGAAACATAAGCCCCTGTGC